TTTTCAGCCAGCTGTGCTTACAGAAAACCGATGTGCTAAGGCCTCCACCATATTGCATTTCAAAGTACAACCTGGATCCCAGCTCCTCAGTCCACTGAGAGAAGGCAAATCAACCTCTTCCTAGCAAAGCTAATTTAGGAATAAGGTTGGACATCCTCCATAACCCAAGCAGTTCCCATGATGCCCATGGAGAGCCCCCAGTCCTCTAATCCAAAAGGTTTTTGTTAATGGTTCTGCTTGAGCAGGGAAAGGTTTTGGAATGGGTAAAAATTAAGTTACACATTTCAGCATAACTTAAGAAATTCACCCTTCTGACTCAGTGAAGATACTGATCATATGCACAGAGTGGAGGAAAAAATGTGTTCTCTAGATAGAAGACCAGCAGACAGATCCTTAACACCAGTTAAATTGGGAGGAACTATTTAACTGATATAGTTGGTTAAGGTCAGTACTATGTATACTATGGATGACTCTCTTTTATAGGGAATGAGATTAACAAATAAAAAAATCTAACTTCTACCCATAAATATCTAGTATTATTCAAATCACTTGTGGGGAAGTATCCAACTAATAGAAATTTGCTTGGAGCATAAAAAACAAAATTGCATAGAGAGTGGCAAAATCCTCCTGAAAGCAATCAAGTGACAATTTGATGACATTATATAATATGTTTCCTCAACTTAGACAGGAGAAAGCTGGGAAAGATCCAGGACTGCACCAGAAAACCAGTCCATGATGGTTGGATGACACTTAGTACAGGACCTAGAAAACGCAATTTGTTGCAGTGTAGTTTTTCCTTCCTGTATGGGAATTTGAGAAGTCCCTTGCAGATTGCTTCCATGAAGTGTCCTGCAGGAAACATTTCTTGCTGGTTATATATCTGATTTGATTCACTGAGAGTCTGAGTGTGGTCATTTTCAACCAAGAATATGTCTTTAATTTCCTCCATTCACTGATCCATAATAGAATACTTTAAAGTTCCCTTCATGTCAGCTACATAAAAATGTTTTCTGAGCTTCAAATTGGGACAGAAATAATAAATAATTAGTTACACTGGATTTTTCCCCCTTATACAAAACATTATAAAGCAGATGTTAGCACTTCCTTTTCAGAGAAGACTTATACTTGACATGATTAAACAATGAATCTACCAACTCATTTACTCTTGTAGTTGCTATGAGGAAGGAAATGGGAGTACGTATAATGAGACCCTTAGAGAAAGAAATTTTGTGGTGATATATAAAACTAGGTTACAATATCACTGTTTCCTTGGGAACCCCTCATGTCTAGCAGAACTGAAAAGGAACAGATGAAAAAAGGGTATCAGAAAAATTATAGCACTGCTGGTGTCAGTACATTTAGATGACTTACAGAAGCCACTAAAAGAAAGTATCACATGCCTTTGATATACAATTAGAGTGAATTTTCATTTACAGATTTTGCAATGAAGAACAATTTCAGCAGAGGATTGTAAACCAGGAATGGGAATCTGGTTTTTTGGAGGGTGGTAGTGAGTTCAGAATGAGAACTGAAAAGAACAGGAAGGGTAGGAATCTGGAGACTCATGAATGGGAAGGTCAGAATTAAAAATGAATGCTCCTTGAAAATAATTTTTGTAAATGATCATACAACATGATAGTATGATGATTTGTTGGTTGATTATAGACTGCTGTTGACCCCATTACACTGGAGTGGGTCGGGAAGTCTGTGCTGTATGTTTTCATTAATATATCACCTGAGTAATGTAAATAACAGTAACAACATGAGACAATCCTGTGCAGGCTGACAGGAACGTGAACAAATAGTATTTGTTTTCAATTGCAGAAAAATGTGAGGAATGATAGGTGAAACTGATTGTGAGAAAGGAAGGTAGAAGCTTAGAAAGGTCAAGTTGAACCCCATTTTTTAATTGTCATCAAGACAGGATGTCTTCTACTCCGAATCTGCTCTCTCTTTTCCAAACAAATAGCTAGATAACATATGGGGATTACAGTTCCCGTCCCTGTATTTGTTTGTTTACGGTTACCCAGTAATGGCAGAGGATTTAGTGGAAACAATACAAATACCAAGAGAAAAGAAAGCTCTTGAAATTCTACAGTAATGCTGAGAGCAAGTATTTGTCATTTGTGGATGAAACATCACAGGCACATGGAAATGAAGCAGGCACTGTAAATCCAAAGAGTTCGAAGGTAAATATCCATTGGAAAGAATCTCAGCTGAATGAGGCAATGCACAAAAAACTGTAGTGATGTCTTGCAACCAAAACTACAGCCTGAATACTGCTTTTGTTTATGGTTGAGGCATGGCATGAAATATTCTTGAACCAACTGTGTAGCCTGACACGAGTGACTACTTTCAGTTGGTCTGGTTCTTTGTAATCATGCTCAGAAGCGATTGAATGATTTCTCTTGTTCTTCACTTCCCTGGGATAAAATGTATTTTCCAAAGGCTTCTCTACAGTTAATTCTTCCATTCAACATTGATAGATTGATAAAGAATCTACTATCTTTGGGAATCTGATGACACATGGTTCTAAATTTCCTCTTTTTGACTTCGATGCCAGATTTATCTAGTGCCTGGAAGAAACAAGGAATTTGATGAGAGCCAGCTGGCTGGAATCCAGTCTGAAAGGTGAAGGTGATGTGAACTGGAGGAGCCGAATGTTTTCAGGACTGAATGAAAAATCATACCGTTTATTTTACAGGGATATCTACTTAAATATAATACTCTCAGTGTCTTACACAATGGTTTATGGTTTTTACCATAGGGTCTATTATAAACATGTTTACATCAAGAATGGAAGAGTCTCCTTTAGCTAAGGATGCCAGTGACATTTCTTAGAAAAAATTAAAGTACAATGAATATATGTGCTTGATAATAGGTAGAGATTATTGTTAAGACCTGCTTTACTACAGCAAACCTCTCATGTCCTTCTGACAATCTGTTCCTCCAGAATTTGTTTCCACAAAGGAATGGTGTTTTCACATGCAGGCAGAACTCTTTGGTTTGTGGGCCTACATCCTAGAATTTATTCTCTGTGGAAATACAGCTAATAAGGACCACAATAGGTTCTGGAAGATGACTTTTTCCCCTATGTCTTTGCACCTGGTTATAAATTGATGTCATGGCAGACAACAAAAAACACCATCTCCAAGACTATATGATATGGGATGAGATTTCAAACTGCTCAAATCAAACCTTTAAAAATCACTTTATTATTGCTGTATACACTTCCATGTTATCCAGCACTGATGGATAACATAAAGTCTCATAAAGTGAGAGAACTGCAAGCAGAACTCTATTCATTCTTGGATAGGCTATTTCCCATTTATTTGGTCTGAATGGAATTTTGGGTACTGTAGGATGCTTTTTCCAGAAATTATTTCTTGCCACAAAATGACTGTTCAGGTGGGGAGTTTATAGGCAGCAAAAGAGTTTTGAGAGGTTTATTTCACCACTACCTGGTGCCCATGTAGGAGGAGGACTTTCTTCTCCACGCTTCTCTAATGGGTGTCACATTCTTGCTCTTCTGGGTTAGAGGAATCTGTTCAGACAGAGGCTGGGGTAGGTTTCACACCTTGCGTGATGTGAAGGACACTCCAGCAGGACCTTAGGAGGGCGATGGTGGAGCAGCAGGTCCGTGGGGCGGGATGCGCTCGGCTGAACAGCGATGCTCGGGGGAACCGGAGGCCGGCCCGGCGCGCACCCCGCCGTTCCCTTGATGCTGCTCTGCGGTTCTCTGCCCGAGCTGCGGACGCTGCCGTGGGGCCTACGAGGGGACGGGCTGCTCTGCCGCCCTCTGCCCCTCGCCTCTCCCTCTGCCTCCATTTCCTCCTCCCGGGGCCAGATCCTCCTCCCTGGGGCTGCGCTCAGGGGCCGGCCCGGCCAGCGGGTGCCCCTGTCCGGCCGCCGTGCAGGCAGCGGGAGCGGCGGGAGCGGCGGGGGATGCGGGAGCGGCGGGGGATGCGGGAGCGGCGGGGGATGCGGGAGCGGCGGGGGATGCGGGAGCGGCGGCCGCGCAGCGTCTCCCCGCCCTCCCCCTTGCCCCCCCGCGGCCGCCGGGCTCGGTCCTCCCAGCGCGTCGCCGGCGCCTTGGCTCCTCCTTGTCCTTCCTCGCGTGATTTTTATCGCGTCCATTTTTTGTGCGGGGATAAATAAATAAATAAGGGCAGCTGCCGCCCGCCGCCCCCCGCCGCCAGCCCGCGCGGCGCCGCTAGGGGCGGCAGCCGGGCCCCGCATCGCCCCGCGCCGCTCGGCTCAGGAGAGGGAGGCAGCGGGGCGATGCGGAGCCCCCTCCCGTGACTCCGGCTCTCCGCCATGCCATGGGTTAGGCGGACTCCATCCCGCAGCCGAGAGGGCACCAGCCAAGCGAGGCGGCGGCAGGCAGCGGCGCGGTCCGGCAGAGGAGCGGCGGGAGGCGGCGGCGGCGGGAGGCGAGCGCGGCGCCCCGCGGCCCCTTCCATGGACGGCGGCGAGGAATTATGAGCCGCGGCCGGCGGCCGGGACTGGCGCTCGCCCGCTGGGGCTTTCCCCGCTGCGCGCCCCGGGGCGCCGGGGCTCCGCTCTCCTACGGCACCCCCCTCGGCAGCCGCTGGCCCCGTCTCCTGACCCCCCGACGCTCGCTCCGTCCCCTCTCTCCCTGCCTGGCGCTCGGTGTTGGGATAATCTCGCTCGCACCCAAACCACAGCGCTCCCGCGGCTAATCCTGCCCTCTCCCCTCTCCCTCCCCACCCCGCCCCCGGCCCTTCCTCTCCCGGCGCTGCCCTCTCCCCTCCCCGCTCCCCCTGCTCGCCCCCCGGGGCCCCTCCGTCCCCGTCCTCCCGCTGCCGCCGGCGGCCCGGCGGGTGGGTGCGAGGTCGGGGCTGCCGGGCACCCCGCCCCTCCCCGGCGGGGCCGTCATTAGGCTGCCGGTTGATTACAGGGTATTGATTTGTATGTGCTGCTCCCGGCGCCGGCCGCTCCCGCTGCTGCTGCCGGAGTTCGGGCAGCGCTTCTCGTAGCGGCGGCGGCAGCTCCTACCAAACATGTCGGCTCCCGCCGGGCCCCGGAGCGGCCCCGCCGCTCCTCAGCCTCCTCCGGCCCCGCAGCCCGAGATGCCGGACCTCAGCCACCTCACGGAGGAAGAGCGGAAGATCATCCTGGCCGTCATGGACCGCCAGAAGAAGGAAGAGGAGAAGGAGCAATCCGTGCTCAAGTAAGGGCGGGCGCATCCCTTTCTCGTCCTCCCGGGCCCGCGGCCGCGGAAGTCTCTCCTCTGGCCCCGGGGGCGGCACGGCCAGGGCGGGAGAGAGGAGTCGGGCGGCCGGGGTCGGGCAGGGGTGCTCGGCGCCGGGCGAGTGTGGGGCACGGCGGGAGGGACCCTCGGGAGCTGCCAGGGACGCGGCAACGCTGGGCGCCTGCCTTAGTCGCGCTCCGCGGGGCGGCTCCGGCTCCGCACGCCCCGGCGCCGGCGGGAACCGGGCGCCCAACATGGCCGCACAGGTGCCGTCCTCACCCGGCGTGTTCCATCGGGAGGACGGGGGTGGGTCGGGGCGGCGGTCGGCGCCGCCGGAGGGGGCGGACCGGCAGCATCGGGCCCGGTGCCGGGGGCGCGGCGGGCTCTGCGCTGGCGGCGGCGGCCCTGCCGGGCGGAGCGGCACCGCCGGGGCCTGGGCTCCGGCCGCCTGGCTGGGTGGGTTTGCCACAGCCGCCATCTTCCCCCGACAACGTGTCTGCCGCCCGCCCCCGCCCCGCTGCTCTTTCCAAGCGTGAGCCCCGGCGCCGGGGGAAGCGGGACGCCTTCCGCCTGCCCGGCGCGGGGGTAGGGGCGGCCCCGGCCGCGGCCCCGGCCCCGGCCTCGGCACCGGGAGCTGTCCTGAGCGACCCGGCTGAGCATTTGGAGCTAGCTGTTCACAGCCACCCAGCTCAGCTCAGCACCGGGAGCTGTCCATGGCCACCCTGCCGGGCTCAGCACCGGGAGCTGTCCATGGCCACCCAGCACCGGGAGCTGTCCATGGCCACCCTGCCGGGCTCAGCACCGGGAGCTGTCCATGGCCACCCAGCACCGGGAGCTGTCCATGGCCACCCTGCCGGGCTCAGCACCGGGAGCTGTCCGCGGCCACCCTGCTCGGCACCGGGAGCGTCCGGGAACGAGCGTGGGGCCCGGGGAAGGTCGAGCTTTCCCCGAGCTTTCCCCGAGCTTTCCCCGTGCGCCGTGCCCCGTGGCCGGGAGCTGTCCGCGGCCACCCTGCCGGGCTCGGCACCGGGAGCGTCCGGGAACGAGCGTGGGGCCCGGGGAAGGTCGAGCTTTCCCCGAGCTTTCCCCGAGCTTTCCCCGTGCGCCGTGCCCCGTGCCCGGTCTCCTTGCAGGCGCGGGGTTCCGCTGCCGTGCACGGCGTGGGTCACGCCCTGCCCCAGTCGGCCGGCAGACACTGAGTAAAGTCGAGAAAACTGTTCTCCCTTCGTGATGGAGTAACCACGCTGACTTCTAGTGGCTTAAAAATCAGCAAAGGTGCTGCTGTCGTGGACGTGACTTTTATGAGTGTGGTGAAGCTGAAGCTCTAAGTGGGTTTTTTTTTGTACCAAAATTAGCTTTGTGTCTTCGACATGTTAATTGCAGCTGGCCTTTCACACTCAGCACCTGAAAGCTGTCTTCTGGGCTTTAGTTGTAACTTTGGAAGTCTGTTTCCAAGATTCACTGCATCATACCAAAAGCTTTAAATATACTTTGTGTGACAGCTCCTAAAAGTTGAGGAGATCTCCTAAAAACATTTCAAAGTCTGTTTAAAAAGGTTTTTTGTTGGATGAACATTCTGAAGCATGTCAGTGTAATGTGAGCACTGGAAATAAAGTACCATATCTTCTTTTGTCACCATATCTTAGTGTCTTGCTCTACAGTTTGTTTGCTATTGGGATACTTTATTTTGAAACAATTTAGACTGTTTTATTAAGTTGCGTGATATACCAAAATAAATGCAAATTTTTGTCTCAAATTTATGCACTCTTAAAAATCATTAACAAAAATGGAAGTTCAAGTTGGAAGCTGCAGGAATTAAAGGAATTAAGGTTGCATATTAAATATATAATAATAGCATTAAGGTTTTAAAGAGGGTTCCTGACAACTTTTGCTGTGGAGAGTAATATTTATGATCAAATATAAAGTAAAATATCAGTACAACACTAGGATCAGCTTAAACGGTTAAGCTTGCAAATGAAGAATAAACTGTTCTTAAGTAATGGTAAGGTAAAACTATCTTAAGAAATGAAGCAGAATTATTTTCATTTGTAATGTTGAGAATCTTGGAAGCAGACAATGGATAAAGAAAAGGTTTTGATCAAATCTAAGGATAAAATTTATGTGGGATTTAGTTTCTCATTATGTCTCACTAAAAGTGTCCTCTTGAGTTCTGTGTAAGCCATGAGGGAGAGGGTAAGGTGTAAAATCTGTACATAAAGGATAGCCTAAAGCAGTGCTATTAGGAAAATGCTGTTGTCAATGGAATTTGAATAGATGGCCCACAATATTTTAGAGGGTAGTGAGAAGTGAGCTGATGTCAGATGAATAACTCATCAGTTTCATTTTTCTGAAAATGAAGTGTCTCCTTGAACCATCAGGTACTTGTTTATTTTAAAAATATCTACAGATTTATCAAGAACAACCCTCCACCAAAGCCCTACCAGCATCTTTATGTAGATATTACTGAGTTTAATGCTCTTGAGAGATATTTTCCTTCTGAGAAAGAATAAAAAAGAACCCCCCCCCATGTTTATATGAATGAACTACTGTTATTGCATAGAGATAAATATAGAGCTAAATCCTGCAGTCTTTGTTCAAGTGTAATTCTCCTCGAAGGCAAGCTTCTTTTGAAGTGGAAGGTATTTTTGCCTCAGCAATAAAATTGTGTCATTTCATTCTGTGGAGAAATATAGCAGGATTAAAAAAATGCTGAAAACAAGGGTTGACATTTAGAGATATTAACACAAGAACTGTTCAAATGTTGAAGAAAGCAGCAAGTATGTATTCCCTCTATTTATTTTTAAAATAATTTATGGTGATTGAGTGTCAGTATGAATGGCTATTCCCTGGGCTCTACTTTCCTTCTCCATTCTGTTTCTATCTTGTGTTTTTCAAATTCTTATGCTGCTCCCATCACTGTGGTATTTGAGCATTTTCCAAAAGAGCATTAAGTAGTGTGACTCACATCTGTAATGTGGACTATTTATTCTTTTCCTTTCACTCCCTGGGGTAAAGATGTGTGGATTTAAAATAGATACATAATTTCTCCTTATGCTTGTTTTACTCTTTTTGGGGAGAGGAAATACAGATGGTATTGAGTTGTAATCTGTAGCAACTAATAGTGATCGGGTCAGCATGAATTCTTGCCAGGATTTGATGGAACATGATGGCATGGAAAGCAGAAGCTTTCCAGATTTGCTTTGTCCTTTGGCCTGGTTTGGTCTGTGAAATACGCTGAGCTACAGTTGTGCACTGTGTTCCTGAGGTGGAGCTTCTGCTTTAAAAAGGATGGGTGGCAAACTCTGCTGCTTTGACTGTCTCTCTTCTGGAACTTTTGGGACCCTTGGAGTGCATTTTGAGTGTTATGGGCTAAGAAGTTGTCTTTTTGACAAGGTTATTGAATATATATTTTGCATAATATTTAATATGCGTAATGCGTGACAGAGTGAATTTATGTCTGTACTCTGGGTGTAAGTCTTTGCTGTTTAAAGAATATTTGCATATTTTCAAGTTTTTTCTTGTGGATATTTTACTGACTTGGATAGAGGATAGAATTTTTGATGATCACTTTTCCTTTAAGTTATGCGTATCCTTTGTCTTATAAAATCTGTTTTTGTGTGTGTAAGCTTTTAAACAGATTTTAGACAGCACATTTCCTCTATACAGACTGATTTATAGAATCAGTCTTGTGCCTTTTTACTTTTAATTTGTACTTTATTTCTGTATCAAAGAACTGCATTGAGAGAAAGCACACAGGAAAAAACATAGATGCTAGGATGCTGCCATTATTTATTGAGACTTCTGTTTCAGTCTGTATGATGTGCATCTACACTTTCCTACTTGAAATATCACTAGTTTCCATCTCCTTTGCTGAGCAATTCTAAAGATAAAATGCTCTCCTCATAAAGTCAGACTCATAGCTCTGAAAAGACATACATTTCAACTTTTCACTAAAGTAGTAGACAAATTTTCCCAAGAAAATTTTTTTTTATAGAATCATCCAACTTTTCATATATTTGCAAAACATTACAGGTTTATCATGAGGTCCTTGTAAAATATTTCTTTGAAAAGTGTGTGTCTTTGTTAGCTGATTTACCTAAGAAAGGTGGAACATAGTGGGCTAGCTAGAGGATGGTGGCTCTCTGTGAATCACCACTCAAGTCCAGAGTGAACTTTAGGAAGGTACAACTGACTGCAGGCTCAGTTACTGGGGTAGTGATTGCACAGATGTGATAAAAATGGGATAGCTACACTGTATGAGGCAAAATCTCTGACAAGAAAACCTCATGCTTTGTGAGTTCTGTATGACACTGTGAATGAGTGAGGTGTGGGGCAGGATGCTCACCTGGGGAAGAGGAAGCAATAAGCTGATGGCCATGACTCACAGAAATGTAAATATCAGACTCACAAAGCTATTGTACCATTTTATAAATAATTATCCTACTTTATAAATAATCAGCTCTGATTTACACTGTCTTAAAAGCATTGTATGTTTTGGGTTTGGATTTCAGGGAAATATATCCTTATATATCCTTATATCTTCTCTCTTTGGAGAGAAGAAGGCGATTATGTGGTGATTAATGATTTTGCTTTTTGAAAATGGAGATATATATAGGAATTCCTAAAGTTTCTAGAGTAAAAGGCAAAAAGATTTGCTTTTGACTAAACAGTAAACTAGGACTCCAGACAATGTTAGTTATGCTATGCTTCCATAATTTTACACTGCATTTTGTCTGAATTTGGAGTGCTGATTAGAACAGTTTGGTGCTACACCACTCGTAATTTTGCTCTTGTTTCTATGTATTATAAAATCAAATATGGCCCAAATGCCATATTTGATTTTATAGTACTTAATATTTGCATATTTACATACATATTTTATGCAGTATAAAATAAGTGATAGTGGAAGTTACACAGATATATATATATATCCATAGTTGAGGAGGATACTTACCCTCTTTCCTGCCCTGCCATGTGCT